TTTTTTTCCCAACAAAAATTCATTTCTTTTTATTTAAAAAAAAAGTTATACTTTAAAAAGTTTTACTTTAAAAAAAAAAAAAAAAGCAATGCACTATGAGACACATACCACTCAGGTAAACAGTAGCAGCTGCAAAGACAAAAAAATCTCACCTTTTGTGACCTCATGGACTTCAGACTCACCTAAACCTTTCAAAAATGTAAGGATTAAGCAATGGAAGAAATAGTACAGCTATTTTCACAAGGGGATGCCATCAGAACAGTGTGTTGGCACACTGCTGCCCCCTGCCATTCACACTGCAGCACATACACGGCTCATATGCTTTGCTCTCTCCAAGGACAGGTACCTCCTGCCTCTGTATGAAGAGGGAAGGCTTTTTGTTCAGCGTCAAACTTACCCAGGCGCATACAACTACAGAGCATTCAAATAGTGATAGCCCAGCCAGGATGTGAACAAGAATCATGTTTCAGGCCACTACCCAAGCTTCTGGATGCCAAACTAGATGCAGACCTCAGACCTGTTTTAAAAGATGCATTTTTCTCTTGCCCCGCTAAACAACTCACCGGATATAGGACTCTCGCTTCCCACATACAACACACAGGTTCTCTTTGACTGTCAGGTAATAATCAACTTGAGACTCGGGACGTCCTGAAGGCTCAAACCGCAGCTTCACAACAAATGGCTCTGTGCTAACTAGCTCTGAAAGGGTAAAGGCAAACGGAGAATATTTGAGACAAATTTGAACCTAAAAGCTAAAATAACAATGTTAAAATAAAGGAATCATCTTAGTAAATCCCCAACAGTATTTCCAATAAGAAAGGATACAAAAAGTTCATGCCCAGTTACCTAAGAAACAAGGAAAAAAAAACAAATAGCGATGTATTTCAAACACCAACACAAAAATTGGTATGCTCACCTCCAATCCCCTTATCCAGATACCACTGAGCCTTCTTGCGATCACAAGTGCACAGGGGCTGTCCATCTGGTGCATGCAGGAAGCAGTTGTCATACAGGGGAGATTTCCTATGGAACAAGGGCAGTGTTACAGCAACGGTAGCAGCATGCCAAAAAACCCTCAGAGCTCTCTATAGTCATACGTTCCACGCAGCAATTCATGCAGCCTCCTCCAAATCACAGGAGTGCCCCTAAACGCACATTTAAGGTTGCTGAGCGCTGTGCAGGCTGCTGCTAAGGGAAGCAGAACATCTGAAAACCTACCTGGGGTTCACCAACTGACTGTAAGGTATCTTTGCTCTCCTGCTGCCAAGAGAACTGTAACTCTGAATCCCAGTTTTCAAGAGATGCCATCAATGATGACAACATTTTCGAAAAAAAATTACATTAGAAAGCAAAAGAGAATTCAAGTCAAGAAGGACGATGAGCTAAAAGTAAGCTAAAAGAGAGTGTCAATTACAGGCAAGGCAATTTCAAGGATCAGCTGCCTAAGCCCGTATTTTAATGTTTTATTAAGTCCACTTTTCTAAAACTTAGTGTGAACAGCAATTAATCCAAGAGAAACATATATAAAAAAAGCTCTTGGAGCACTGGGAACCCAAACACCTGAGACCATGGGAACAACAAAGCTGAGCTGAGGCCCTCTGAAACGCATGCACCTAACCTTAGTCTGGCAAAAAGTCCTGCTGGAGCAGTCTCTGGTGGTTGGTGGCAGTGTGTGGAAGGGCTCTGTTCTGCAGAAAACATTTCCTTACTCTGCCAGCCTCCTTCAAACAAACCCGAAGAGCAGAGCAGGCTGAGCTTAGGGAGCACCTGGGAGGAACTGGCCAGGGATACAGACATGTCACAACACACTGTGGAAAAGTTTCCTTTTTTTTCTCCAGCAAGATCATACAAATAAGTACTCAGCAGAGCTCTGCCAGCTGAAAAGGTTGATTGACAGGCTGTGTAATCTGACAAAAGGATTTCTTCTGAGGTCCATGGAGGAAAAAAACACAACTAAACAATAATGATACAGGAGATCTCCTTCCACTGAGCATCAGCAGTTCAGCTCAATCACCATGATAACTGGAGTATTTCCCAACTCTAAATTAATAAACATTAAAAATAAACAGCTTATAGAAGGTAAAAGTGGAAATGGACTTTTGAAATCACATTCAGTCTTATTACAGACGAGAGCCAGACTGCTGGAGATACTGTAAAAAACAGTGATTCTACAGGATCTCAAGTAAAGCACCGTTAAAAACAATAAATAAACAACCAAGCAACCATAGAAAGATCTCAATTTAGCTTGGAATGCAATTTTGTTTAAATTTTAACTTTTCCATGAGGCGCAGTCCTTCTGTTTTGTATGATACGGGCTCCAACAGGAAAAAAAAAATACATCTGAAAAGACTTGCTGTGTACAACACAGTACCATTAATGATTGCTAATAAAATCAATATTATTGACTGTATTAAAATGCCTTTATTCCAATCCAATAAACTTGAAAAGAAGAAAATAAATACGAAAACGACTGGTTTTCTTTCCAAATGCTAATTACAGACAATTTTATTTTCTACATCCCTATGATTAATTTTATTAGATTGCATCCAAACAAAACCATACACACTAGCTCTCCATGTATTCCACTGCATTGAGCTTAGAGAGCCTTCTCCAACTTGTTTTCATTTAAAAACAACTGAACTTTAACTAGCAAAAGGCTGTAAGAATTTATGATGTGCTCCACAAAAATCACCTGTGGGACAGGAACCCTGAATCAATCCAGCAACAGCTGAGCCTGCAAAGCCAAAGCAGTACCGTCCCACAGAAGTGCCCTGCTTTGATGCTGCCACAGACTGTCCCTTCCTGTGCCCTCCTGGGCACCCTCACACAAGGTGTTTCACCCCTTCTAACCTTAGCTTTCATCTCTGCTCAGCACCCTGACATCTCTGTGGCCACAGTGACCTGGGAGAGCACAGAACAAACAGCACTCCACGAGGCAGATCCTGCTGACAGGACAAGCTCCGTGCAGTTGGCCACCTTTTCCCTGGAGGAGACAGGGCACAGCTGTGTGGGGAGTAAGTGCCACCAGGACAGCAAACCACCTCCTGCTGGGACTCAGCTCTCTAGATAATAAGGACAAAAGCTGAAGACAGCCCCTTAACCTCCTTATGATCCCAGTGCTGTGACCACTTTCAATACCACCTAGAGGGAAAACATAAACAGGATCTACCTCCCATGACCTGCGTTTTCTTTCCTAGCTCATATTATCCGCTCTGTTTAATGAGTAGAGCATGAGGCATCATTCAAAGTTTTCCATCTGCAGCCCAAGGAGTAAAACGGGCTCATAGACTTACCGTGCAGAATATCCTACGCCCAGAGGCTTCCGCTTGTGCCTCCGCGGATCTCTCGCTTGCTGACTGCCAGAGGGCTGGCCATTCACTGAAGATCTCCGATTCTTTGTCTTCTGAGGGGAATGTCCCTCTCCACTCTTCTCCTCTCCCGTGCTGCCACTCCTCCTTCCTCTAAATGGGATATCCACCAAGCCCCGGCATTTACCCAGTGCTTTCTCCCAAGCAGCGATATAATTTTCACCTTCAGATGTAGCAGGGAGGCTGGCAAATCCCAGCAAATGGAGGAACAGAGCCACGGAGACCTGGGCATCCCTAGCAGCATAGAGAACCTGCAGAAAAGCACAGACATCAAGTTACTGACAAACAGCAAACACTCAAACGTGACATTATCAGTCTTTAACACTAGGTACAGCACAGCCAGAAGTTGAATGCATTTCCTTTTGAAGTTCACCCTGAGTTCTGGCAGGTGAGTGACATTTTCGTAACATCACCACAGCCAAGGTTTTTAGGGTCAGTCATACTTGAAATACTCATGGGTGCCTTCAGGAAACACAAGGGGCTGAAAAAAATCTTCAGGTCAGCCAGGCCTTAAAAACCTTCCCACCCTCATCAAGTCCTCCCTAAATGACAAAAAGCTCCCTTTTGGTAAGACTGCCAATTCAGTGTGGTTATTTATCCTGTCACTCCCTCTACCGGTCACTGATTTTCTACACACCTGCAACGTGACAGCGAGGAAAGTGAGCAAACAGGGAAAACACAATGGTCTAAAGACGGTGAACAAGGTTTCTAGGGTCTCTCTTTAATATTGCACTGACTGCTATAGACTGGAGTAAACAAAATAATAAAAAGGTGAGATTTTGGGTGCACAAACACTTCTTTAAGGGATCTTGCCTTCTAGATCTTTCAGGACTAAAGGAAATCAAGAGCCAAGAATTCCAGGAGAACAGCAGAAAATTACCTTCACGGAAAAGGAGGGAAATGCAGGCAGAGTCTGAAATTAACTTCAGACCACAGTCACACATAAGGTTCTGAGGCAGAACTCGAAGAAGGCTCAGATCTCCCTACTGTAATGTCTCTTCTCTACTAAGAAGGTTGCTTTTCCTCCCAAAACACCAAGTTGAAGTGGAAGACACACCTGATCTTGTGTCAGTTCTTCTGCCTCCCAGTTGCTGCAACGCACATGAGGAGACTTGTCAAGCGGGCAGTTCAGGACTTTTTCAGCTAAAGACTTAAGGCTAAGGCAGTTGTGAAGTAGGTCCTTCCTTTAGTTTAACAAAGAAAGTGAAACAAACATATTAAAAATGAAACTATACACCCATGCAAATTTGGATGGCCTCACACACCCTGAACCTGCCAGAACACAATGCACATGATGCCTGACTCCCACTCAAACTGCACTCAGCCACCTGACAGCTTTACAGGCCCTCTCCCTCCCCTCTGCTAAAATGTCCTTTCTAGATTTAGTAATTATCTAGTGCCTGCAACATGCAAAACAGGCAAGGCTGGGAGTTGATAACATTTAAGGCTTAAGTGTTTGGCTCTGAACTACCCACTTCTGAACTAAAGAGGTCTATCACAGAGTGATGAACTGCCTGCTGTCGGGATTCATGAGGAGCCAGGAATGACTCAGAGGAACCGTGGCCACTAGGGACAATTAGTCCATCCTCCTTGATAAAAAGGTACAGTCAGGTCAACAAATCCATGCCCCAGATCACTAACACCACGCCCAGGCATACATATACTGTACGTGAAGAATATTCTCAAGTAAAACACTGTATTTTAGGAAGAACGAAGGATGAGAAAATGGCATCACAATTGTAACCTTTTAACAGAAGCACTGCTACTAGAAGAGAAAATTAGAGATGCTCTAATTTTAGTGATTTTTCAAGAAATCCTGTAATTCAACAGTTCCACTTATGTGCCCCTGACACATTTACCCATACTTCTAGACAGTATTCATATCTGTAGACATGGCGATCACTCTCACTGCGTTACACCACCATGCCTGGACTTCTTACAAGCTGAATATTTCCAACTCAAATGATGCCTTAAACAGAGCTGCCTCTGTCTTCAGACACTCACCGCTGTCTCATGGCTAAATACCGGAGATCCACACTCCCTTTGACTGGAAGACCATAATCATGAAGTAATTTACAAGCATCTTCCCAGCATCCTACCCCAACTTTCAAGACAGTACTATCTGCCATGATGTCCACCAGGGTCTTTGGGATAGTCTGTCCGTTGGCAACAAGTCTGGGCAACCGAACAAGAACGCAGAGGCCACTGGAAGAAGCCATCTGTAGGAGGGATACGGGATTTGCTTTTCCCCGCACAGATACCTGAAATATAGACAAAAATAAGAGCCTGGGTTACAGCACTATTACTAATACTGGAGCTGGAACAAATTGCAAAGAGGCCACTGAAGACAGGAAATACCTGTCAGTTTATACATTCAGTATTGTTACATGTCTCTAAAACTTTACTGCAAATTATGTGATCTGTTTCACAGTATTACTGTCCCCCAGCTACTTCTTGCCACACTCCTACAAGAGAAACTTTCCCCCTTTCACCCTTCCCCTCATAGCTGAGCTGGTGGAAAGATATCAGACACATTTCTTAATCTGCATCAGCACAAAGTCACCCAATACAGAAACGTTTATGGCAAACACATTGTTTAATTGTGGCTTATACTAATGACCGTGAAGTGAATAAATTTCCAGCCAAAATAATGGTGGAGCCAGGCGTTATAAATGACTCAAAGCCTGTTTTGAGAGTTCACACAGGCAAATGTGCAAGTGGAAGAGGAACTCTGCTTTCTGGTAGCCCCAGTGAGTTATATCTACATATCAGTATTATCCTCCTTTTTGGGTTTGTTATTCTTAAGAATTTTTTTCTGAAGTATGTATCTGGATTTAAAACAGTGTAAACTCAAGCTACTTCTAGTAAATCACATTTAAAGAGATATTACACAAAACATGTAGCCATACAAGTATCAGTATGTTTACCATAGTCATTTTATCACAGGAGTTCTGTAAACAAATACAACTAGTGAATGAAAAACTTACATTTAGCACACTTAAATGTGAGAACAATCAAAATTAGCACCTACTTCACTGCTGTCATGACAGATAATTACATAGGCAGTCTCAGTAGTCAATCCTGTTGTATCCATTCAAGCAAAGCAATTGCTCCTACCCAGATGATTTCCCATTGCAATTTGCAATCTAAAGGAGAGGCGCTTCTTGATCACTCACCCACTCACAATCAACTCCAAGCACTGGCCACTTCTCCAGCTCGTTCTTCAGCAAAGGTTCAATGCAATCCCACTCCTCCTGCTCTGAAACTACCACTATGTCTGCACCAAGGGTCCTCTCCAGCCAGGAAAAGGTGGGAGATCTGAATAAGGAAAGCACCTCCTTATCCTCTGCCTTAATCAGTTCCTCATCTCCCGAGTTTATAACTGCTTCCTCTTGCTGGCTACTACAGCGTGCTTTTCCTTTCCGACGCTGGGCTGCTCTCCACAAAACCAGGCCCCCCACTGCAACACCCAGGAGGGTCGCCAAAGTAATCGTCACTGCTGTTTGCTTGCGCATTTTTTTTAATCCCCTTTTTCCCCCTTCACCCACTCAAAATGGCACTGAAGGATTTTATCATGGCCTGCAAAGAAAAAGGAAAGAGGTGGAAATTAAAGACAACTTAATTAAATGTGTTTAGACGTATTAAATACACCCACTGGTATCCTAACAAGGCTCTAGCCACAACTCATGATCCTGACGGGAGGACTGAGTCTCACTTTGATAGGGGGTCGGGGAACAGACTGCTGCAGTGGTGGACTGGGCAGTAACAGGAGAGTGAATGCTGCTGTTGATCACAACGCCAGAAAGCTTAAAGGGAATCCACTGATTTATAGTGGTGCAACTAGACGCCTCCACAAACTTTTTTCTTTAAAAAATATGAGTCGGGGCTATTCATAGCATCTTTTCACTCCATTTGGACCCCAATCAGCCTAAACAAGGACAAAATGAGATCACTGCAGAATAAGCATGTCCATTCATGCATTATTAAATAATAGGCATTGTCCATTACATTCACATCCATACTAAGGTCAAATGGCTCTTCAGGCATTGAAAAGCCCTAAAGAAGCAGCATCTATTTATAACATCGTTTTCCCTCTGTCATACAAAAGCTTAGCTCCCCCGCAGTGAACTGAAATCAATCCAGCCCCTGCATCCCCACCTCTCCAACCCACCAAGCCACCTTTTAAAGGTTGGCTGTTTGACACCAGCAGAAGCTGAGGTGTCGGTGCTCCGACAGCCCCGCGCAAACGCACTCAGAGCGCGGCCACGGGCACCTGCCTGAAGGCTTGTGGAGCCACCCTCCTCACTTCTTCAACGGAGGGAGAAGGCTCAACTGAGGGTCAGCCTCACCCACGGCCTCTGCCCCAGGTCCAGCAGCTCTTTGTGAGCCAGGGGATGCAGGCGCAGCCCGCCCGCTTCTGCGGGTCCCCCCATCCCACCCCGGCAGGAGAAGCCCCGATGAGAGAAACCCACCCGGGCCCTGGCCAAGCGCGGTGCATGGGGACGCCGGCCGGGCCGAGGAGGCCCAGGCCGCCGCCCGCTGCACCGGGCCGAGGGCAGGCCATGGACCCGGGCCTGGGGCCTAGCACCCGCAGGCCCCCCCAGAGAGAACCGAGCACACTCCTCCGTGCCGCCCCGCAGACCCGTGGGCAGGTGGGAGAGGTCCGCAGCGTCCCTTAACACCAGGGAGAAGGCGCTGCCCTTTCTAGGCCTTCCCGGGGAGAGGCACGGGTACCCCGCGCTCCGTGAGGAGCGGGCAGGCGGGAGGCCCACCGGCCTGCGCAGCCCGGGCACCTGCCGGCGCAGCCCGCCCCCGGGGCGCACGCAGCAAC